CCGTCTTTTGGTAGCGCAGAAAATGAAACAATTCGAGGGTAGGTGTAAAGGATGCTACTTTCCTTTACCACTTATTACTTACTTTAATATTTTAGGTCTTTGCCACAATAATCTGAATCGCTCACCGGAGGATAAGTTTCCAACAACTCTGGACGATTTACAAGGATTCTGGGATATGGTTTATTTGCAGGTAGAGCACGTGAATTCAATTTTTGCTGATATAGAAAAACTCAAAAATAACGACTGGAAGGTTAAAGCCGAGCCCGTGGCTGACCAACCCGATTTGGGCACCGAACCAACTAAAGCAACAAAATCTCAAAAAATCGGTGTTTCGCAAGTGAAAACATTCGGAAAGTCATCCAACGTTCGTGTAAATGGCTTGGAACCTCCCCCACCTAACACGGCAGCAGCATTAAAGAGGGAGGCCCAGAGAAAACTGCTTCTAGAGATGAAACGTCAGCGTCGCGAGGCTATGACCGCAGCGACCAAATTAAATCCGAATGATGTTGATGGCGCCTCCGACGTACCGGGAATAATTGGCGACAGTTGTGCTAATCCTGGCGTTAGCAACGGAAGTTAAAAACTGCTTACTGCAAATAGCAACACATGCTTTCTATTTATAAATATATTTTTAACTAACACGTGTACCCCACAAAGGCATACTTAAATTTATAGATATTTCTAGTTGAATTAATCATTTACTAGTCCCAACTAAAATGATTGTGTCGGAGCTCCTTAATGAAATCTGTCACAAGGCATCAAATATCTAGGAGATAACAAAGTATTGTCACGAATTGCGACTTACCTAAAGTTGTTCATTAATATTGCCTTATCCGCGAAAGATTTCGCTAATTAATCAATTTGCTGTGCACATTATGTAATTAAAAATGTAAATTTCTTGATTACATATAAAAAAGACATTTATTCACGTTTTACATTATTTAAGTACATTAAAACCCACAATTCATTTGATGTTTTATAATTATTTTTGAGAAATTTAAATTATGCAATTCTTGGAATATCATTTTTATTAATAGGTAAAATATTTTTATACAACTGCAAATAAAAATGAACTCACACATTTAATTAAAAAAAAGTTCATGTCAAATTTATGGAAGGCGGCAGGCAGTCGGCGTAGTGACGAAGCCAATAAGGAGAGCGTGCGTAGACGACTGTGGTTGTCCGATATTAACGGTAATGAAAGGAATTGCATACCAATACTTTGAAAAAATCTATGGTTTTGGAAAAAAAGGTGAAAGGGTCAATTATTGTTAAAAGTACAAATCGATTGACTTCGCATTTGTCCAAATCCGTTTGTTCGTTTGTCATGAAATCATTTTTTTGTATTAAACAGGTCGATATAAGAGAATTTAGGTCTACCACTTTTCGAAAAACTGAGCTGGTTTTAGCGGGATGGCTTATTCTTTCTATGCTTTTCAAACGTATTATATCTAAATGCAAAAAATTTGAAACTATGGAAATACCAAGTAGCTTTTTAAACTTTTGGTGAATTTCTCGAAACCGTGTTCAACTATTTATTTTAAAGCTTCTCCGTTTACTACTGGTTATAGTGTTGATAGTGTGGTGGCAAATTCATGATCTTCCCAAAAAAAAACTTCTGATATCAAACCAAAATGACTAAAGCATAAGTGACGTTTACACATCACATGTTCTATTACCTTTTGTGATGAAAAAGTACTTTGAACTTTTAAAACCACTAAGAAGTAAATCACTTAAAAATCTCCTAAATCAGAGGAAAAACCAATTAATTTTTGCTATAAAATTACCGAGAGAACATGTAAAAATTATATTTAGGTTAACTATAAAGTATTAGTATAACTATAACTAATTATAATTTAACAAGATAGAATGGTATAGTCGAGTTCCCCGACTATCAGATACCCGTTACTCAGCTATTGGAAGTTCAAACGAGAAATTTCAAAATTTTTCTGAAATATCCGTAAAAGGTGGCAAAAAATAATAAAATAACATTTTTTTGATATTAAGGTCGTAACAGTTTGGACGGTTTGTGTTCTTTGGAGTGGGCGTGGCAAAAAAATGGCAATATAAAAAAATATAAAATTTTTTAAAATTGTGGGCGTGACAGTTTTGGGCTTAGAAGTGGGCGTGACAAAATTTTTTTTTGGAAAATCTGTAGAAACTTACAAAATATATAAAAAAATTAAAAAATATCACATTTTCAAAAAATGTGGCCGTGACTGTTTTGTGCGGTTTATGGGCGTAAGAGTGGGCGTGACAACATTTGGAACTTGGGACAAACTTGCGCTATGCGGAATTTCTCCCTGTAATTGTGGTATTCAGAAGCGGCAATGCAAAGGTCAATTTCGCTCTCCCCTCTTGATGACCCGAAATTCAATGGACTTATGTAGATATACAACGATCGTAGATACGTTTCGATTGAAACCATCCGCTCTGTATAATCTGGAATAGTAATATCGCTATTGTCATGGAGTCAACGTAAACGGTCAACGTAACCTGGGAACATATTGAAGGGAATGAATCTAAAAAGCCAAAGTCAACGTGATCTTTGTTAGCTTTGACCCCAAAAATCCTAGCCTTGATGAGCATACGGATAATTAATATAATCAGCTATTCATAGCTTAATTTTAAATTGAAAAAAAGTTTGGACAGGGCGAGCAATTTGTGGTCGCAAAGATATGTTTTGACCAGGGATACAGACTCACTAGTTGTTGTTGCTAGTTGTGCCGAGGAACACCGAAAATTAGGCCTGAAAACGACTATTACTTAGAGCCACAGAATTAAACATTGGTTATGATAGTGCCATTTATACCGTGTTCGAGAGGTATGATAAGTGGGCTAATTCAGGAGAAATGTGCGTAAAAGTTATATGGAACCACTATTATTTTTTCAAACAGCTCAAGCTGTTAATCTTAATCACTTAAGATGACCGAAATAAGCATAAAATGAATATTTGTTTAACATCTTCAGGACACGTCCTGACATTGAGGTTATTAAGTTTTCTATAAAATTAATTTAAATGTTTGCCCCTTCTTGAATGGTGGGATCTTTTCATTCTTTCAGATTTCTAAATTGCCTTCCTCCATTGGCATAGGCATTTTGGGAAAGGATGCGCATTAGGTTTTCTACTGGATTAATGTTCGGTCTAAAAATGCGGTTTGCGAGGAAGAAAAGAAGTTCTGTGTGCTTTGCACGTTGGATATGCGCATTGTCCTGTTGAAATGTCCAAATGATCCTATCGAATCTGGACAAGAACTGTATCTAAGATCTACATACAGTGGTGGAAAAAATAATAGAAACAAGAATCGCTCCTGCATGTAAAACAAAATTACTAATTATGTACGAAGTGTGTGTGGATAACGGTACTTTATTGTGCACATCTTTTTGAGTTGATTTCGCTCTTGTTATTTGCGGTACATAGCGATATTTGAAGTGGTCACGTGTTTGAGCTGGAAAAAATAATAGAAACAAGCTACGTTTCTGCGATTTGTTTGAGTTAATTTTGTAAGTAAATCAATATATTAAATACTTTCAGGTATGTTTAGCTCATAATAAGTGATTTTGTAAAAAAAACAAAAAGGGAAATTGCTGAACTAATGCACTGCTCTGCAAAAAAAAAGTGTTTTCCGCTATTCATTATAAAGATACGAGGTTTGGGCAAAAACATTGAATGTCTTGGAATTAGAATAATGTCTTATTCTAATGTCTTTGGACCGTTCATTTTATGGGTTATAAAACATATTGGTGACTTTTCCGCTTACCCAAAATCAGTATATACCAAATCTCTGGAGATGTACTTTTTCGATTCCTCTTCCTTATCTTCCTCAGAGTCCAGTTGACAAATTTCAACTTACTTATTTATATAACTTTACTTATTTATATTACTTACTTATTTCGGACTATCTCAGGAGAATTGGGAGTGTAAGTGCGAAAGGAATGGAATTACCTTTTTTTCCCTTCTGTACATACAGATGTTCTAAAAATTTTAGAAAACCCGGGAATTATTAAATGTTAATGGTATTATTTATATTAACAAGTCCATTGAAAATAATAGTTAACAATACGTATTTTTGTAAATGTTGACTATTTTTACAAAACGGCTCTAAATATTTTGATTTTCACCTCAGATGACCACAATTTTTTATGTAAAAATGTATCCGATGTTAATTCCAAATAAAACAAGATAGCATGCTAGAGTCGAGTTCACCGGCTATCAAATACCCGTTACTCAGCTGGTGGAAGTGCTAACGTGAAATTTAAAAAGTTTTCTGGAATATTGATAGAATTCCGTCCGACCGTATGAACGTCGAGATCTCAGGAACTATAAAAGCAAGAAAGTTGAGATTATGCATGCAGATTCCAGAGACATAGGCGAAGGGCAAGACATGCCACGTCCACTCAAACGCCCACAAACCGCCCAAAAATACCACGCCCACACTTCTGAAAAATATGTTAATATTTTCTAATTTTTTTTATTAGCCGTGCAAATATTTTTTTTTCGATTTGCCAAACTGTCACATCCACACTTTTGAAAAATTTTTAAATTTTTTTTCATTTTATTAATTTTTTTTAAATTTCTACCGATATTCCAGAAAATGTTCCACTAGCTGAGTAACGTGTATCTGATAGTCGGTAAACTCGACTATAGAGTTTTCTCTTGTTTTAAATGCGAATGATCATTCGTGAGTTCATTTTATTTTGGGCCCCTATTGAAACAAGTTCCTTGTTGCTTGAATAAGTTTTATTTAAGCTTCTATGGTAAGACTTATGAGTTAACTATTTGTAAGTACAAATCTCTCAGTGTTTAGTGATTTGATTATAATGCCAGTTTCGTATTAATAGCTTACGAACTTGGTCGTATGCTTGAGCGAAGCTATTATTCTACCGTAATACTACATGTACATATGGACTTTATTGTATATACTGCTCTAAACTAAATTCGTCTCTAACTATTAAATTTGGGCAATAAATATCAGTTACATATATATAATACGAATGGATCAGCATTTCATTATAAGTTTATTTACGCACATTTCTTCATACATATGGTTGCGAACTCTTTAAATAAAATAATAATATATTAACAATATCCATGTATCCATGGGACTTCTTTAACAACCCGTTTTTAATATTTTTAAAGCGCGTTTTGGGCACTATACTCTAAGTATGTAAACTTGACCTATATACGCCATCAAATGTTTAATCTCATCGATTATACTTTTATGAATCAAAAAAAGATGGAGCTGTTGTATTGCTGAAGGTATGTATATGTGTTCATTTAAGATGACGGCTATAGCTCACAATCGGTTCCGTTTCTCATAGAGTATGGGGGTATACTAACCTGCTTTAGAAGAGTATGTTACAGGTAAAAATAAGCATTAATTCTTGATAAGGATCATTTTCCCCTACTAGAAAAGCAAAAGAATTTGATATCTATTTTTGTTCCGCTTGTGCACCGTAAATTGGCATCTATGTACAGCAAATTTATTTTACCTATCCAGAAGGTGAAAGCTTGGTGACAACATTGCCAGTGGCCAATACATATGATGAAGGACAGGAAAGGAAAATGTATTTTAAAATGTAACGGGTATTTTGTAGTCATGTCACTAAACAAACGTGTTTTCCTTGTTCTATTTGGGTATAAGATCAGGGTAAGAATCCTTGCAGGTCAGACGGAAATGCCGTTTGGCTTTTATACGACCTTATAAGATCGATCATTATAAGATGAAGATATCACACATTTTGCTGTTTGGTATTTTTACGTTGAGTAACTTAACAAGCAAAATGATAGAAATACTTTAGAAAAATGATCAAAACAAATTGTAATTTAACTAAGTGCTGTTTTATTTATTACTATAATAGCTTTAGAAAAAGCGGTAATGGTCATTTTAAAAAGAATCCACCTTCTTTTGATTCATATTTTTAATGTTTTACAATATTGACCGGTAGGTCAATTATATATTCGAATTGATATTCTGCGCTTTAAAAGAATACAAAATACGGGGGTAGCCAAGTTAATATGGGTCGTTTGAAATAAAGTGATTACATTACATATTTACAAGTGAACAATAAAACTATAGAAACAACATGGGACAAGGAAGAGACGTGTAGTGCTGGATACGGTCAAGAGGCAATTACAAAAATAAATAATTTTTGTGCATTTTAACTGCCAGCCATTTGTTAGTCAATCCTTTCCGAGGCGTTGTACGTATGCATGAATCAATCCTTTGATGTTGTACACAAAGCATGCTTTAAAAATTGATTCCTATCCGACGAGCCCATAGCCTTCAAGAGTTAGCCGGGCTTGATCTAGACAAATCTCCGGATCCAGTACTCAAACTGGGCTCGGGACTAGAAATGAGGCACGCGAATAGACAACTGGCATAAGAACGTATGATGTCGGAGGTGATTGCAGCGCCTAGTTCCTTTGACACTATTATTTTGTTTTCGCTTTTCCTGAGCATCCGTTAGTCCAAGTTAAGTGGCGGAGTACTGTTCGGTCCTCCCAATATAAATGACGTAGGACTGTGCACGGAGATGCTGTCGAGGTCCAGAGCGCCTTCGCCCTTCTCTAGTAGCCCGCTGCCATCCTGCTTCATCATCATGCGTCGCCATTTGGCCCTTGCATTTTGAAACCAGACCTACACAGAGGGAGAGCAGCCAGTGCTTGTTTCTTGTTTCTTGATCTAGGAAGTGGGATTACTCACCTGTAGGACCCTCTTTGGTAAACCAGTTTTCTGTGACAATTGTTTTAGATCCTTCGCATCAGGGTTATGATTAATGGCAAAGTAGGACTTCATGGTACGCAGCTGGTGATGCTTAAACGAGGTGCGCATTCGTTTGGTGCGCGATGAAGAGCTTAGGTGCGAGCCTCGGCCAAAGTCCACGTACTCAGTGTTGAGATCTGCAATCAATCCAAGGAGCCTTGTAGTTTTTTATTTTTACAGCACTTTCCGCATTTTATGGGGCAGACACATAAAAGTTGTTGCTTTTGCAGCTCTAATGGCGCCAGTATCCAGATTTTGTGGCGGTTCCAGATCTGCCGAGCTGTAGCCATAAAGGCTCCGACCGCCTGTAGCCTCTTTTATGGCCGGCAACCTGATCGAGAATGAGCTGGAAATTTACAACATACCTATGTTAGCGGTGAACGCCTCGATGTCCTTGGGCTTGCGCTTGCGGGGCCTGCCCTTTTGACGGGCCGGCTGCGGCAGTCCGTTGATTACGTGGGACGCGGGCACAAAGATGCCCGTAGGAACAATGCTCCGACTAGGGTCCGAGTGCGGGCTCGAGGAGTCGTTGTGCGGCGAGCCGAACTGGGCGCTGTACGGGTAGGTGGCGCTCATACTGGATGAGGCGGTATCCCCCTCCCTCGCTATACTGTAGTGGGTCCTACGTTTTCTTTTAGTAGTGGCATGTCTTGTTCGTACTAGGAAGGCATACATACCTGCAGTATATGAGGGCGTCGATGATACCGTACTGGTCTCCCTTCGTCAGTGGCGTGTGACAGACAGTGCAACAAAAGCAGTTGACGTGAAAGACAAGATTTCGGGCGCGCATGACCAGCTCATTTGAGCTGATAGAAGCCAGGCAGCGCGAGCATCGGCGAGTTCCAAAAAAACTGTGAGCGATAATATGGGTTGTCATATCAGTTAGATTTTAGAGAATATGCTACTGCACGATCGATCTCATTGCTCGCGTAATAGTTGGGCATTAAAGCTATTGAAGAAATCAGGAAAGAGCCAAAGAGCCACAGGACCAGTAATTATATGCCTGTGTCAGTCTGGATACCGAAGGTTCACATCCGCACAAATAACACAAGCAAGACTAATAAACTGCCCACAAACGCCTACTCATCGTCAATTTGATCGTCCCTTCCATCCCTGCCACGATAATGACGACGCTGAAGGTGTAGTCTTGGTACGCATTCGATCCATTCCCGGCTACTGTTTTCACTTTCGCAAATGACAGATCAAAGATTACCAGCGTCCGCTCGTAATCACTGAGGAGTCGCTGCGTTCGTGTCAGAAATGAGCCAGCAGATTGAATGGAATCCCTGGGATCGCTCTTCTGGAACGCGGGTGCAGGGGTTAGGAGAGGGCCAACATCAAATCACCGAGACACGCGATTTCTTTGGCATTAATCAAAATAATTGGCGCAATTCGCTGCATTGGATCCTGCGAGATATACCCAGAAAAATCGAGCCAACGGAAAATCCGTTGTATCCAAAGCCAACATCAATTCCATCCGAATTTATCATATTCAGACGATGGCATTTTCATCCCTTCCCCATTTTTGTACCCGTTCCAGTTACCGTTCCGCATTTGTGTTTTCATTTTGTTGAAAATTATTTGGGATGTGACAGAAAGATTTTTGTCACATCCCCATGTCGCACATCTTGTCGCTACACGAGTCAGTGCGACTCCGTCTCCAGAAAGGCCCTTGAGAATCTGCATGTACGTCTGTACGCATGTGTATGTACCTTGTGCTGCTGCGCGGTACGTAAGACCCATAAATAATATTAAACATGTATGCAGAAGACGGCGGCGCGGTCGTAGCTACCAACTCATAAAAATGACCCAGACCGCAGTTTCGGCGAAGTTAAGTTCATTTCGAGCCACATACACTACCATAACACGCCTCTTCTTCCGAGGGCGAGGCAGAGGAGGCGAGAAAAATGAATTATGATTATTGCCATGTAAAAGAGCAGGCGAAATGTCAAAGTGACAACGCCTAATATATGATTTTGTTCTCGAGCTCTCGAAATCTGATACTCTCACACACATTCTGGTCGCTCTTATTCTCGCTGCCTCTCAAAGTCCCACTTCCAGTTTGTGTCGTCCAACTCTGTGCCTTCAGTCTAAGCATTTGGGGGCTCCGATCTAGCGCTTCTCAAATAGTCCCGCCGTCTGGACTTTTTCGATGCACAAGCTAGCATTATTAAAGGCACGTTTAGAGTAATTTTTTTAAATATAACTTTTTAGTAATAATACTTGGTTTTTTAACAGTACTCATATTTATGGCAAACAGTTTTTTGGCAATTGGATAGAAATTTACAAAACTCACAAGCAATTTAAAACATTTCAAAACAATTTTCAAAAGTTTAACCGTGGTAGTTTTCTTCGGTTTAACAAATTTTCTCTGCGTCTTTGCCTCAGGAATCTGCATGCCTACCGCTCTATAGCTTTTATATGTATCTGAGATCTCGACGTTCATACGGACGGACAGACAGACGGACAGTCGAACGTGGTCAGTTCGACTCGACTATTGATCCTGATCAAGAAAATATATACTTTACATGGTCGGAACGTTTCCTTTTGCCTGTTACATACTTTTCAACGAATCTATTATACCCTTTTACTGTACGAGTAACGGGTATTAAAAGTTAAATTTTATGGCAAGTAACTCTGGAAGGGTAAAAATGTACAAAAATGAATTGCGGTGAACGACGCATAGTGCAGTGCTCCTACATGTGTGGTAAACTGTATTTTCTAAACTTATACCTCTTATTCGCATAGTAAAGGAGTATACTAGATTCGTTGAGAAGTATGAAACAGGTAGAAGGAAGCGGATCACAACCCAAGTCGATCTGGCCATTTATGTACGTCTGTCTGTCCGTATGAACGCTTAATTCTCAGGAACTATAAAATCTTGCCTGCGCTGTGCAAGTTAGTTTGAGAACGTTCTATCTATATGCCGAAAACATTTTCGCCACATCCAATCTAACGCCCAAAACTAATGTGTGATGTTAATAATTTTGTTGCCCATTTATTTAAACATATTTGCACTCCCACTTCCTGACAAATGCATTCCAATTATTGGCACTACTGCAGCGTATGTTTGTTTTATAAGGTTCCAAGCTCGGCATTTATTTTTTCCGCCTCCTTGAATATGGGATCTAAGTAGTCCAGACTGGCAGGTGAAAAAAAGGTGATGAGGCCAGCTTTTTACAGACAACGGCAAATGCTTTCCTGGTTCGTGGCCAAGGGCTACGGAAATCCACTCGAACCCTTAACCACCACACGCGGCCTCTCGATGAATCCCAGGGACGTGGGAGAGGGCTGCTGAACTCTTTTGGAATGAATAACGCTACGCACGCTGAAGTGCTAAGCGACTTGCAGCCCGGGTGGACGCTGCGATAACACCGGGCTTGTATAGGAGCAGGGGAAAGAGGGACAGGCCGGCCAGGTTTGTAACGTGAGAGCATTTGTAATGCTTTGAGGGTTTGCATGATGAGGTTTCAAGAGCCACCCGCTGGGATTCGCTCTTCCTATTACACATGTATAAGTTAACCAGGAACAACTGCAGCAGATTTCCCAACACCACGCCACCGCCGACAGCGGCGGGCTTCCCGTTCTATTCGTCAGCTATCGTGAGAGCGCTTCGTTCGCCATCCAGCCCCTAGTCCAAACCCTATTCTCCCCCTGCTTCTACTGATGATGACGTCCCGCGGTGATAATTCTAGGTTCTCGACGACATGCTGCCTAAACGTATACAATAATTATTTGCATTTTAAGATTTGCGTGTTTGGTTTTGTTTTGACTACAACTGAGATCTTTGGGCCGATCTAAGAGTTTCATATACTTGAGTGGTATTACCCTGCAAGAAAAAGGTGAAATTGCTCTAGAGAAGGATGCTCTCAAAAAGATCACCCAACGCAGCGACTATATTCGAGTTAACTATGGGGCAGGTATTCTCGATTAGTCTGTATGAACGTCGAGATCATACAGATTCCTAGTGTCGATCATGTCTCCCATGAGTATGGAATAATAAAACCACTTTACTTTTTGAAGTGATAGGTTTTCTTCTTATAGAATCTATGGGCAGCTTTCGCCTTCTCGACGGCTTTATAAACTTTACCTATTCAGGAAAATTTGTTTTCTGGCTACCATGACTCGTAGCCCCATGCCCAATAAAATTATGTCTATAATTTTAAATAATAAAGATTAGATTAGCACCCTATTGTTAGTTTGTGCCTGATAGCTCGAATCTGGGAATGAAGTTTCTTGAATGAGTTAGCAAGTTAAAATCGACATACGTTAGCTCTTGTTTCCCAAACCAATTTACAGAACGTTTGTTTAGGCAGGCCGCAGTAAAAAACCGAGTAAAGCCGTTGCTCAGCCATGCGAGTGAGATGTTTTACAAAAACCGCAGTGCTAAAATCTATAAAATACATTAGTTATACATTCTATTCTATTTAAGACATACAAAAGATGTCGAGGGTACTATACATATCTACAGTGCTATATTTATACCCTTTATTCGTCGATTTGGCAATGTCCGTCTGCCTATTCAAATACAATATTCAAATATTTTAAAACATTGCCACGCCCACTGTATTTATTCGTTCTGGTTTCGAATTCCAACCGTTATGCTAAAAATATGTTGGATCATTAATTACAAACCCCTGTAGAGTCGTAGTAGAGACATTATCTTGACTAAAGAATTCAACAAAGAAATTAATAAACTAACTAATAAACTAATTCAACGAGCTAATTAATAAAGTAGTTATTAAAAATAATATTCGGCTTTTTGCCGAATAACGAATAGATATCACATATACAAGCTGATGTATGTATGTGGAATATCGCCTTGCGTAGTTTATTTTATGTTTATTTTAAAATGTATAGTCAGAGTATCATTTGGTTATGTTAAACCTTCACTTAACTACACTTTGCTCTAAATTATTATTCATAATAAAGTTAATTTGCTCAAAAAAAAAAGGAATCGCCCAGTTGGCCGGTTTAGCCCATTGTGGCTGTTTTCGAGACCATAAAATATAAATACGGTGCTCTTCTCCACCTTTATTGCTGTGCATCAGAGTGTGTGAAGTAGGTGCATGCTGTTTTCAGCCACATAATCAAATTACATTTTTACTGAGATCTTTGCCTACTGTTTGGTACCCTAAAAGGCGGTGACCAGAACATAAAAACTCAACATAAATTGAATCGTTCATCTGATGTGCCATTGTTGTGGGCTAGTCTTTCTTTTTGTGGATTTTTAGTTTCATCACGAAGATTTTTCAGCTATGGCGTTGAAGCTCACTTATTTAATGAATTCTTTAGGTCCTAACCTCCCTTTCTATTTACAAGGTAAAAATTTTATTTTATTGCATAAGCCAGAATTTCAGAGGCCATAAATTCGATGCTTGGTCAGCTGCTTTTACTTACCACAATTAAACGGTTGCGCTTCGCTGACTTTTTCAAACTGTAAACACTTTATCCAAAAATATTTTTTAAACTAGTCTGCTTTGTGGTTATTGTAGACGACCTCCGTTTAATTGGTTGAGTGCCCAACGCTGACTAAGACGATTAAATGTCTACGAACACATCCATCCAGGCCTAAGCTTTGGCATGGATCATCGTTGAACAGAAGATCTTCCCGATTGCAGTTCCAAAAAAGAAAACGCTATTGTCAAGTTCTGCGACTATCAGATACCCGTTACTCAGCTAGTGGAAGAGCGAATGAGACATTTGAACAGTCTTCTGGCATATCGATAGAAATTGTGAAAAAAAATAATAAAATGAAAAAAAAATTTTAAGTGTTTTCGGCTGTTTGTGAGCGTTGGAGTGGGCGGGGAAAAAATTTGTTTAGAAAATCGATAGAATTTTACAAAACTAATAAGAAAATTAAATAAATATCTAAAAAAATTTCAAAAGCATGTGCGTGGCATTTTCTGGCGGTTTGTGGACGATATAGTGGGTGTGCCAACATTTAAAATGACTCTGGAAGCTGCATGTCTTATCTCAACTTTCTAACTTTTATAGTTCCAGAGATCGAGTGATCCATACGTACAGACGATCAGACGGATATGGCCAGATCGACTCGATCAAGAATATATATACTTTATATGGTCGGAAACGCTTACTTCTATCTTTTACATTCTTTTCGTTGAAATCTAGTATACCACTTTACTCTACGAGTACCGGGTATAAATACAAAAGCTGCCATACAAAATAAAAATTATGACACTGCCTCTGCCCCAAACATTCTTTATGGTTGCTAAAATCATCCTAGCCGCAATCTGATGCTGGCCTAACCGTCCTATCTGCTGTGCCATCAGCACAACATCATCGCGAGAGATAAGCACTTGCTGCCCAGATTTTTATTACTGGTCGGTGCATATGTACATACACACATGAGAAAACAGATGCACATGTGGATGATGCAGGGGACAGCGAAAATTTTATTTCTCGGCCTTAATTCTGCTGGCGTCCGCAACAAGAAGAAGAATGGCAACCAAACAGGTACAATGGACGATAGTGGAATGCCAGTTTGGTGAGGGTTCCGATGGGATCGCGTCCAGCAGTGGTAGCAGTGGTAGCACCAGAAGTAAAAGTGTTTTCTGCATACAAGTATTTGCCATGGGAGGGTGAACCTTAAAATCTGCATTCAGCTGTTGAGATAGATGTACATCAACATATACAAAATTTCTACTATCAACTCGTTTGACTACATAACGGTTCTAAATGTTTGCATGAAATGAGCTTTATACAATATATTGACTAAACATTAGTATCGTTGGATCACAGATCCTAGTTTTTTCGTGTATTATAGTAGTACCCTTCGCACACTTTTTTGGTGCTCTTCTTCACTACGTCGAAACTACAAAACTGTCCGATATGCTCCATTACTATGGAAGTTTAAAAAAAAGGGATATGTGAAAGTGGCAAGACAAATAATAAAAAAAAAAACAAAACATTTTTTGAAAGTCTGGGCGTGGCAGCTCTGGGCGGTACCTCCTAGCTTTTATAGATCCTGAGATCTCGACGTTCTTTTTACTTTTACTCTACGACTAACAGGTATACAAAACAGGCAACCAAATTCTTGAAGACAAATTCTTATACGGAAATACGGAAACATGGAAGTTTTCGATAATAATTTAATTTTATAATTTTATATGCGACAGCCGACAGCCTTAAAGCTGTTCATGTACCAAAAAAAAAACCTTCTTCTGACGTACTCTACACTCCTAAAGAAATAATAAAATAGCTGCCTGTATTAAACCAACTATAAAAAATACGATTGCACTAATCTGAAGGACAACCTACCCCACGAATTAAAGAGACTCCTAATAAATAATGTCGAAAAAGGATACATTTATAAATTTTGTAGTTTTTATCAGCGGTTAACATTTTACTTTACCCGAAAATCAAAAATGGTTCCCAGAAACAGGAACAATACAATTTAGACCTTGAAATAAAATTGTAATCTTCTTTTAACGTTATGATTCGGATCATGCATTGATACTATCTTTTTGGGCAAAGGGCCTTAGTATATGTTCAAGAGGTTCCGCTCAAGATGATTGATGCATTCTTTGGTTTGGCGCGTTTACTTAACATTTAAATTATTATCAGAAGTATAAGATCCCAATGCGACAAATTTATCAAAAGATTCTTACAAAGAGATTCTGTGCATATTAAATCAATACGATTTGTTACCAGGCAATAAATATACGTTCTTACGTACTTACTTAATTACTATTCGAACAAGCCCACGCCCACTCGAATTTCTCCCTTAACGCGTTTCGCAGCACAAGTCCTTAAAAAAATGTGGACTTAAAATAAACGAAACATGGCCTTATTTGGGTGGATGCGGCGATGCGCGTCCATTCATGGTTTGGCTCACCCGCTACCCCTCAAACCAAACAGATTCAGCTAAAATAATATCCACTAGGTCCTAGCTCTGCCCCAATTCGACCGGGAGAAGTCATTTTTGACATCTGCAGTATAAATCAACGGAGAATGTGGGAATGTGGGCAGGGGAGTCGATGTGATTGATAATGCCCCGCACCAACCGAAGCCGCCGGAATGAAGCGAAATGAAACATTACGGCGAAATGAATTGTGTACGACAAGACAAGGCGCCCCTAACCCTCCAAATACGACCCCGCTTGTGCGGTTGTCAGCGGAGCGCGGCGGTCGCGCTGCTGGAATCTGGGGATCAGTCGCAGCACTCGCAACTCGCGGATAGCGACCACAAATACAGTGGGCCTCGCAGCCAATCCCAGTCACGGGCTGCAACTGCGACTCCCAATACAACGACGGGTATTTTGAAATATGGAGCGGTAATAAATGTCACAAGAATCATTTGAGAGGAAATACGAGTGACGAGCGTGACTTGCATACGATTTATGCCTTTCGAGAACAGGCGTTCACTCATGAATGGGAAACTTATTCGGATCCGTATTACAGGTGTTGCCCTTGCTACCGCTTGCCGCCTTGCCGATTTACCTCCCACTGCCGGACTGGCAAGTCTGAAGAAAGGCTTACAATTACACAATAGAAGACTCCAGCGAGCGAGGGCTTGCTTCAGGTGGGTGCTGAGTTTTTGGGTAATTGTAACCCATTTTTTAAATCTTCGCACTGATCATTCTAGAAGCTCGCGTGACAGCTATGACGCGTGAAATCGCATTGCTGCAGTTTCCTACAGGAGCGACGTGGGCGAATGTAAAGCGGTCTGTGAAACCCTCCCAGACAGGCAGCTTTTATCGTCTAGAAACCGCGAGTCTGCGGGTTGGAGGCGTGATCAGGCTAGCTAGTGTTCTTGGGAATGCAGTGGAAAGCAAACAGCAGAACACACGCAGGGCCACTCAGCCATCGGATAAGCGGACATCCGGACGATTGGACCGTTGGACTGTTGGTATCTTCGTTGCGGTCCGCTTCCACTTGCGAATTCGCGATCGCATTTACCGCCGCTCAGCCTTCGCACAGTGGATCAAAAGAATGACGGGGTTGGGACGTTAAGGCAGCCGCGTGCATAAAAACTCCTCTCGCGTGTTTTGCAATCATTTTCTGGCCAATGTCTTGGCATGCAGTCTCGGCGTTATCTAATTCATCAGACCCACTTCAGTACCCCACTTTGGACTGCTGCCCAAAGGCTCCGTGGGTGAGTTTCAGGCACAGCTCCGTATGGTATAATAATTTCTCTCAATGAATGCTCTAACTCTGGATCCAGAAGCTTGGTGACTTACCTATAATAATCGTTTTTGCAATAAATGTTGCCGTCACGTGAGTAGCATGAGGATTCCCGTTCCAGCGGTTGCCGACAGGCATAGCACTGTAGGCAACTTGCATGCCACCGTTTTTCCACAGCGGAGAGGTAGAAGCGATCCTGAGAATGGAGGAGGATATATTAAAGTATTTATCACAAAATGCTATCAATCGATTTGTCCTATATATAAACACCTACTTTTCAGAACAGCAAGACGCTTCTAATCAGGAAATGTGACGGAAATGTTACGGCAAGAAGAATAGTTACAATTTCATTCCAACCATTTCAATGTACTATTACATATAAACATGGAATGTGTAGTATTGCAGAGGGGTAAGGGGGTATTACATATAATTTGTAATACTAAAGGGATGGGCACATTTTTCGATGTTCAATATCTCTACCCTTCCAGAAGATAATTCCCTGAAACGACCTATAAAACGGTTATACAACGATCCAGGTACTCGAACATGTCAAGTTTCAGGTTTCATCAATTTATAATTGAACAATTAAAGTAGCAAAACGTATTCTTAGCCCATGATTGCATAAATAACCTTTGAACTTTTTTCACACTCTTTAGGCTTTAGAGCTTCCATGTAACGTTTTCGGGCATGCTAGCCTTGACTAGAGTTTTTAAAATTACCCCTCTTTTTCTGAGTACATAATCATTTTTTAAATTTTTTAAAATTTTTCTATTTATGTTTTTCCTTCAATTCAGAAATTATCTTCCACAAACTCACCTGTATTTGCCGCCCGCAGCCGGAGCAGTCGTCGAGGTTGCGCGTTATTTTGCTATCGTTTGTGGACTCGGGACTGCTGGGCGGTCCGAAGGGTTCGGTTTTGAATGATATGCCCGACGTCGTCTCGTCGCTGACCTCCGTGCAGTCTGTTCGACTGCGGCTGATCGAGAATTTGGCGGCAGAGTCCTCAAAGGTAGCACGATCGGCTGTTTCGTAGCTGGAGGATTGCATGTGCCTTGAGTGGTGGGATTGGGGTGGAATTGAATCCCTTACCTTCTAAATGAGTCGGTGCCGTAAGCGTTGCCAAATGGCTTTGTACTATGATCACAAATATCTGGACACGAGGATGAGGAGCAAGCGCGGAACAATGGGTGATTGTTATTTGCACCTGCAGCACTGCCACATTGATTGCTCCCTTGATGTGCTACAGGTGGTGTTGGACTTTTCTCCCTTGCGCCGGGCCCAAGAAATCTTGCGCTCTGCTGCTATATTTTTGGAAAAAAATAAATTATTCACTATTAAAATGTGAAATAAATCTTTGTAATGTATTACAAAATACGCTTGAGAGTTTATAAATAGTGCGCTATGTATCACGATTGCAAACAAGTTTGGTTTGTTTTAAAGAGTATTACATTCTCGTAATTGCAATATTCAAGTTATAACCGCAGGTAGTATGCTATAAAATGCTTATAAACATAAATTAAACTACGGTCACAAGAGAAAAATTCGTCTGGCTTATCGATAGTAATTTCCAATACAAATAATAAAATAAAAACTATTAAGACATACTTTAAAAGAGTGTGGGTGGCAGTTTTCGAGAAACTTTATATAGAAATTGGCAAGACAAATACAATGGGACAATTTTTCGAATGTGTGGTGCGAAAGTTTTGGGTGGTTTATAGGTTAGATTGGGTCGCAGTCTTCTGAAACTAACTTGCACAGCTTAGGCCTCACTGAATGCTTAATTTAAACTTTCTAGCTATTTTAGTTTTTGATAGAGCTGCAAGCTGACCGTTAAAAAGGAGGCATCAGCCAAAAAAAGATAAAAAGAGATAGCATTTTTTAAAAAAGGACGGTACTGCGTTGAGAGTTTAAATTCGATTGATTACCTTTATTAAAGTAATGGACTGTTATGCAGTCGTAAGTCAAACTTGTATATATGAATTATATGAATTATATATATGAATTATATATATGAATGTCTGTCTACCTTATTGCATTTAGGGTTTCGGTTTGCTAGGAATTTCGTAATTTGTTTCCAAGCTCGAGCATTTCTAATATATAACCAATAGATATCTATGTAATCTTAAAAGTTTGTAAGGGGAAGAAAGGACTAATTGATTTGAAAGGGCAGATCTACCCGGACAATGGACAAAACAACGGCACCGGCTCCCTAGATATCGACGGATAGACCGGCGGACTTGGCCAGATTGACTCGATTGGTGATACTAATCAAGAAGTAGCGAGATAATATTGCTTACATGTAATTAAAATCACTAAAAGAAGATTAATGAGTCCATATTTGAAATCGAATTGTTTGCAATTAAAGCATTAATACCTTTGCTCATATCGCGCCGTATTCTTTGACGGTTTGAAAAAGTAAATTAGTTGTGTCCAAAAGGACGAGTATATTTGGTGTTTGGGCTATTATGAATGCATCAGTGTTGTGACCGTATTAAAACAAAATAAACACTATTGCCCGTTTCTGGATTTAATAAGCTGATGGATTGCTGCAATACAAGGGCCAAAGTAACGGTTAGATAGTACTTATCTACTGGGTTATATTTGTTATGTTTTTGTTAATGCTGCATTTTATTTTCAATATAGATGCCGGCAAATACAAAGAGAAACGACAAGTTCCTTTCAATTAAAATGAAACAACTTTTTCTTATTCCCAGAAAGCGCTGCGCGACATTTAAGAATCGCCAACATATGGGAAACACCCAGCATCAGCCTAGTTGACTTCCCGACCGAATCCATCCAGCTCATCTCGCATCCTCCTATCGCAACTCATCTTGAAGCTTTATTCATTGAAGAATACTGCAAAATCGCACACGTTGTGCCTTTGCCATGTAGACATGGCGTCGCACTTTATTAGCAGAAGAGTATCCGTGAGGCACATGTTCCGCCCTATCTCTTCTCCTATCTCCGCGCCTAGGCTGTCAGCACGAATCGTCGATGCTCCAGTTTACTTATTTTTGATTAATTAGTCGAAAATAGATTGCAAATGTGTGCCTACTTATCCCCAACTACCCTCTTTTGGGTTAAAAGGCTGACAGGTTTTCATGGTAAAAGAAATCTTCCCTTATTGCACAACACAAATTTTTTGTGCAATTTTTATGTTAGTGGCCTGGAAACATGTTTTTACCTAAGGGGGAACATTAAGCTATATTTGTACAAAGTTTTGATGCCTGTTTTGGATGTCCGTTTTACGTAAAAGTTTCGACATGCCGACTTGAATGCTTAGGCTAACTTATTGCATCATCAAAAACATCGAAAAATCGGACGAAGTGCGTCAAGGAACCTTTTAAATGATGGGCAAGATAACCAAGTCGATAACCAAGACCAAAACTAAAATCTGTTGGAATCAATTTAATAATAACTAATAAATTAATTTAATATTGATATTGAAAAATGTGGTTTTAATGAATATACAATAATAATTTCAGTCAGATTTTTGCAACCCGTTAAACATTTCCAGATAATTTTAAAGGAACACAAAGAAACACTGCAAGAAAAAGTATTGAGCCATGAGTTAATAAAAATGTTCTCTGTTTTATATTTTACACAACGCAGATAACCCGTTTATGGTATCTTCTTAGTTCATATTTCGAACAAAATATACCAAATTAAAGAATTTGCCACGTCCAATTTGTTGGTGGATGATAGGATAACTCAACATCGAGTCATTCTAGGCCAAAAATCAAAACGGTTTTTTATTCTGTACCGCATTTGCTTTGGTCTAAACTACTTTTACAATGAAATATTTCGATAACAATAGTTTAAAACAAGGTAGAACGGTGTAGTCGAGCGCTTTTTGATTATATGGGTATTTGTAGAAAAGTATGTAACAGCGTTTCCGACCCTATAAAGTATATGAATCAGAATCACTAGCCGAGTTTAACTCGCCTTTTTTAAATGCCTCCCTTCCACTCCCAATAGCTGAGTTATAGGTATGTAATAGTCGGGGAACTCCACTATGGCATTCTCTTTTGTTATAATAACCATATAAAGTATATATATTCTCGATCAGGATCAATAGCCGAGTCCATCTGGCCATGTCCGTCTGTCCATCTGTCCGTATGGACGCCTCGATCTCACGAACTACAAAAGCTAGAATATTGAGATTAAGCATACAGCTTCCAGAGACATAGACGAAGCGCAAGTTTATTTCCAAATGTTGCCACGCCCACTCTAACGCTCACAAGCCGCATAAAACTGCCACGGCCACACTTTTGAAAAATGTAATATTTTTTCACTTTTTTATTTGTTTTGTACATTTCCAGTGAATTGCCGAAAAACCTTTTGCCACGCCCACTCTACCGCCCATAATCCGCCCACAAACCAACCAAAACTGGCACGCCCACATTTTTAAAAAAATCGACATTTTTTTACTTTTTAAAATTTTTGAAAAGTGTTTGAATATTTTTGTATAAGTTTTATAAATCTGTATCGATTTCCCAAAAAAAAGTTTAGCCACGCCCACTCTACCGCCCACAAACCGCCCAAAACTGTAACCATCACACTTTTGAACAATTTTTCTTTTATTTCCTAATTTTATTTGCAATTTTTGACGATATTCCAGAAAATTATGAGATTTCTCGCTCGCACTTCCGCTAGCTGAGTAACGGAACTCGGGGAACTCGACTATAACATTCTATCTCGCTTAAATATTAACAATATAAATATAGATAACTCGTAACTCCAGGATAAATGTCTGTTGAACTTATATCGTTATAATTGCGAGGGGATATAATCTGTTAAATGATATTATTCTTTAAAAGGGCTGCCTTCGAAAATGTTTAGCTGAGTCATGCAAGCTGATGTAAAATCAAAATGGCAAATTAAAATCGCACTTACTATTGGCAAGGTATATATATATATTCATTTTTAAAAAATCAAATAGTTTTAAAAAGAGTGCGCATGTACATTATTTTGGATTAAGAATGTTCGTGAAAATTTATTTAATTCAAATAAATCTGCCTACCTAATCTCCCGAGACTAGACAAACTAAGCTAATAAGGAAAATTTTTAATAAAGAATATGTGCATATAAGTATATGACAAGGGTTGGAAACGCTTTTCCCTCATGTTACATACTGTGTAAGGGATATCGTGTAAAATACAGAACAAGTAAAGGATACCCAAAATGTTTTGTTCATATCTCAATTGTTAAATTAAGGTTAATATTATATCACAGTTTTACTAAATATAACATTTACAATTCTTCAATCAGTTTTAACTGGAAGTTTAGATAAACGAATGTATCAAAATGTAAGAAGACAAATATGAACTAAGTAATTCCCATTTAATTAAAAAGTGAAACACCTTTTGAATAGTTCAGTATCAGTTCAAGTATCATATAGCTGCCGTATAAAACAATACGAAAATAATATAAACGTACGTACAACACATGAATGAATGCCAAAATTCTTAGGCCTTTTCAAGCCATAACAAGGCTCTAATCGAATAATGCGGTGTGTAAGCTTCGTCTTGTGCTTCAAGCTTTTTTTTACATTTCATTATTTTGAGACCTCCATTCTCTTATCAGCTGCTGTTGATACTGTCCAGATAACAATAAACACTTGTTTTACATATGTATTATTCGTAGTCTCGAACGGCAAGGCTTTGCCAAGATAATTGGACAACCAGTAAAAACTTTTCACCTATGTTCCTACTTCACTTATTTTGATATAATGTTTGGTAATTCTTAAAAATATTTCCCACCCTGTGATGTTAAGATACAATAATATGGTATATGGATTCTTCACTTAATAAATATATAATAAAAAAAAATATTCGTAGTTAAATATAAACAAATAATTGGCAGTAAAACCGAAGTAATGACATTGCCATCAGGCTCCCAAACAAAAAAGCACACGAAAGAAAAACAACTGGTGTTCTGATCTGATCAAAAAACCGAAGCTTATGGCTGTTTTTATTGCTAGCTAAAATTAGGAAAATTGTTCGATCTGATGCAGAAAGTAGAGCTGCTTGATATCGAGCTGAGCAACAAATTCACCACTCCAATTAATTAAACCACTTTTAAGGTCCTTTGACCACGCCTAACTTGCTCGCCCATATAGGGAAACAAAAAAATTGCCAAGAATTCAGAAAACAGTATGTCGGAATTGAAGCGTATCTAAAAAATTGAAGTACCGCAAGAGTTGCAAGTATGTTTGGTAATATTTTTTTTACACCTTGCACTATTTTAAAACGCATTACATATTGCAAAAAGTTAGTTTTACTTTACAGAAATAGAGAACTTTGCACAATACGATGTGGCACACATATTAAATAACATGATATTCAAAATCATTTTTGAATATATGTATATAAAAATATATAAAACATTTGTATTGTGTTAATTTGCCAAACGCGCAATATCAAGCAAACTTTCCCTCTTATTTTTTTTACGAAAGTCGTTAGTCTAATCACATTAAATTTGACTATGCTGTGCAATAAAAATGGCACGGCTGCAATTAAAACAATAGTATTTATTTATATTTTATAAGAAGATAAAGGGCGGCTTAGTTTAAGTGACTTGTTATAGGAGAAATTAAAATACAAAAATGGCTCCTAATGTATTGATAACAATAAAAATAAACTGGCTATAAGGGTTGTTATTCTAGGAAAGTTTCTCTGATTTCTCGATTAGGTGCATATAATACCTAAAACCAAATTTATTTGAATATGCTGTAAACGATGACCAGCTGAAATTCGAATCAGTCATGTGCAATTGCCTATTCGAAAGCATTTCGTTTTATCGGATTTCGACAGAACACTCGTATTGCTGTGTGTTCAAGTCCTATAATCCTTATATGGTATAGATTTTCATGCTTTCATGTAAGCTTCAAATCTAATTGGCGCACGTTTCTGCGACACACTCAAAAATTCACAATATGATTGCAATCAAAAGGAACAAAGTAAAATTATTTATTTAAAGGCGTTGAAAGTAATGAGGAAGGTTACTTTCAAAACAAAATTCAACAAATTTTGCCCTTTTCTGTCAAGGTTTTATTTAGCGAACCCCAAAATTATAAAGACTCACTTTTCACTAATTATGTTTGAACTCGACTTTTGTTTATTGGAAAATTCATGAATAGTGATTTATTTTTGCACATTTACACATTGCAAAATGCAAAATGAATAGTTGTGACGTAAAAACGGGATAGAACGCTATCTTCAAGTGCAGGTACTATTAGATACTATTTGTGTTGTAGCCAGCAAAAATTGAATACTTCTGCTCTTTCCGACGAACTTTTAAATTACTTAATAGTCCGATTTTAATAATGTTTGGCACGAAGATTATTATATCTTTACACATTTACGAATACTTTAAGCAGATATCCTCACGTAGTCGAAAATACCTTATTCGCGTTGCAAATTTGTATTTCAAAGTTATTGGAGGTTATTAAAACAACAAGTAATGCGATATCTATTTAATAAACTAAAAAATTTCTGTCCCATACAATTAATTAGAGCACCCTTCCGTAACAGGCTATAAGATTTGTTGAAAAATATGTAAAATGAACAAAGAAGTGTTTCCCAACTTATAAGGTATATATGTATATATTCTTGATCAAGATAACTGGCCGTCCGTCAGTCTGTATGAACTTCGAACAGGAACTATAAGCAATAGAAGAAGGGACACAAATTTTTTAATTCAGAGGACAAACCGCCTTAAAATGGCACGGGAAAACTTTTAAAAAGACTTGCGTTTTTTTTATTTACATAAGAATACATGAAGGGACGCTGGTTCGCGGAGATACCCGATAAATATTTATTCAACTTTCAAATAAATAAACTCAAAAATAAACTTTTATTATTCCGGTGTTTTTTGTTTTCTGCATATGTATTTTCTGGCCACGACTATGTCCAAGCCGTAACTCATAACTTCTGGAAAATTATAATTTTTCTGTATATTAATTGGTACGTCAATTATCAAACATTTTCTGCATTTTTAAGAGTAGATGATCCATTTTCTGAGATATTTTTCTATTTTTGTAAACGCGCTCCCCAGCAGTTTTTTTAAGGAACGAACTAGCCACTGAACGAACCATACGGAACACTTCTGGGAACTGTTTTTAATCTGAAATTCCCAAGGGGTTTTCTTATCGATATTGAGTGGGGCTGTCTGTTGATAGGCAAGCTTTCAGTCTGGCATTGATAACTCCGAGTAACCCAGGCTAAGATCAATATTAATCACAAAGGGCAGCGTTTGGATGAGCTGGGACGACTTTTTGGATGACTTTTTTTAGTCTTATCGCTGGTTACTTTGGATTTTATGTGCTACGACGGCAGAACTTACCCAATGCATCACAGGGCGCTCCTCGGTGCAGACGCCCATGTGCGTCTTTTGGAATGACACGAGGTCTATTTCCAAGGATGATGTCCGTCGGTCGTGTTATGTTTGTCGTTGTTTGGGCTTTGCGTTGTGTTTTGCGAGCCTTATGCCTCCTTAAACGGGCTGCGGTGCTACGTTGGTCCTGGGTAATCCTCTAGACCCGGGCTGGATGTGCTAAGGGGCACTTGACACTGGTCACAATTAGATGGTCGGCTAGGCTCGCCGAAAACAAATGTGCGCACAACGTGATCTATAACTTTGCAGACATGCATCACTTCCGCGTTGTCTTAGAGATTGACACCATTGGATTGCCTTTTCTTATTGCACAAACTACAAATTTACTGCCGCTTATATTATAACTTTCTCTTTAGCATCAAGGTAATTTAAGGAACTTAGGGTCACACACTCACTAAAACACTTGACTCGGCGACAGGTAGGATATTTGTATTGATGGGGGACCGACCTCCCCTGTATCTCGATGGCAAAGGCGGTTTCGGACCGCTGGCGACCACCGGTTAGCGGAAAAAATCTAAAGTTAATTTATGACATTAATTTACGAGACAGCGCGAGAATGGCACATCAGATCCAAATTGAGTGGTAAAGGTCGGCCTTTGTCGGACTCTTCCTACGACACTCGACGATGCCTGCTACTGATAAGGCATTAGAGACGCGTATGCGTATGCGTATGCGTATGCGACTGTGCTCCCTTGTGTTGTTTATGGCCGGGCTGGCGATTACCGATCCAACTTGAGTTTTGTATCCGTTTCGCCAGCTCCCTTCTTCTTCGTCGATTCTTCTTCGATAGAGCCAGCTGGCGGCGGGTACAGAAGCCCTTTCCCAGCTCTGTCCTGGCAAACCGAAACTCCAGCCGAGCTCGAGTCAAAACAAAACTCGAATACGCGCAGAGCTTACAAAACCAAAAACCGACTCGTATTTGAAACTTGACTACCGACTATAGTCTGCAGCAGATCTGCTCCTAATCGTGAGGACAACCAGCCGTCGCAGCTGAGAAACTGGGAATGCTTGGACGCAGTGCGAGCGCAGCGCCAGAAGCCAAAAAACTCCACCGCCCCGTGCGCCGTGTGTTTGCGTGCGTGATGTGCGCGCGACGGTGTGAGTGAGAGCGGTGCTGCGCATGAGCTGCTATCCTGCTTGCACACACGCTCATCCCGCAGCTCTCACGTAGTGGCAAATGGCGGCGCTCTCAGCTGATAGTGCCAGTAGCTCGTTCCCGCTCTAATGCACAGCCAGTAAACGAAGAGGGCGTGGTGTTCTGTCTGCGCTCTCGCACCAGCCAGAATCGCCTCCCCACGCACCGCCCACCCTCAGAGAGGGTTCGAGCCGTTGGCCGGCTGCAAAACGTGAATAAGGCAGCGGCAGCAGAAGTCAGGAGTATAAGCTGTGCGGCAGACGCCACATGAATGAGGATGGACTCCAACTGGAAGCTGCAAGCGGAGTCCGTGACAGAAATTCCGACTCGCAAAGGACGAAAAGTGGTCTGAGCACGCACAGGCGAACGAACTCTCACACCATCGGGTCTTCGCTGATTCTTCAGTTCTATAATGAAAAGAAGTATGTTTTCGTTATATACCGATTTTAAAAGAACACTTGCTACTGCAGGAGCTATTTAATTGCTTTTCGTATGCAGACTGTATAAATGCTGTACGCAGAAAAGTTCTTCCGACAGGTGTATTTATAATTCTCAACCAGTTCAAACGCTTCAAGTAATACAAAGTGTCTGCTGCTTCCTAAAAGAACCTTCATCACAATTCCTCTATCACTCCTCCGCCTTAGCTGGAAGCAAAGTGCACACACATCTCCATACAACATTAAATACTTGTATTCAAGCTATAGATATTCTGTTTTTTTGGTATTCATTTACTATGATGTCAATACAGATGGGCATTTTGTCGTCAGTTAAAACTTATATCTGACAGGTTTTGCGGGTTCATTTCAATAATGAGAAATAGTTGCCATTAACTGCGCGAATTTTCAGAAATTCAACCGAACTTGAACTTATTTTCAATCTTCAGAACTATTGAATTTACCGGTTTCATTTAGAAATACTTTTAGGTGTAGTTTCTAATACGTCTGCTGATTTTAGAACTCTTATCAGAAAGTTTAAGAGCATGCATTATGTATTTCGATTTTTGTGCGACTTAGCTTTCGAATTTAACTATACTCGTTGTTGGCTCGTTGTTGCTAATTTTGCTGTTGGCTTGAGAAGGCTTTCAAAGAAAGTTAAGCCCCGGTTAAATAGGGGCTGATTGGGTGGATGGGATGTGGACGTCGATTTGTGTCCTTAGATTTTGTGTCCTTATTCATTATAAATACAAACAGCTGAATTCTTATGAAAATTCATTATTTAATTCGAATACGAATCTGCAACCCTGTTTAATTGGTACAGTAGCCAAATAATAATTAATTTACTAATTTCTTTTATTGGGACATTTGATTGTAAATAAGTCAAAGTTACAAAAATGTTGAAAACAATAGAGAATGCTATAGTCGAGTTACCCGACTATCAGATACCCGTTACTCAGCTAGTGGAAATTTCAACATTTTCTGGAATATCGGTAGAAATTGTGGACAAAAAATAATAAAATATAAAAATAATATAAAATATTCCAAAAGTTAGGGCGTGACAGTTTTGCCATTTGTACAAAAACAGAGAACACAATAGAGCGTCGAAGGGTCTCGACTATCAGACACCCGTTAATCAGAAAGCGATTTCGAAATTCTTTTGAAATATCGATGGAAATAGGAAAGAAAAATAATAAAATAAAATAATACCAATACGAATCTTCAACATTTTTTAATTGTTACAGCAGCCAAAATGTTTAAAAACAATAGAGAATGCTATAGTCGAGTTCCCCGACTATCAGATACCCGTTACTCAGCTAGTGGAAATTTCAACATTTTCTGGAACATCGGTAGAAATTGTGGACAAAAAATAATAAAATATAAAAATAAAATAAAATATTCCAAAAGTTAGGGCGTGACAGTTTTGCCATTTGTACAAAAACAGAGAACACAATAGTGCGTCGAAGGGTCTCGACTATCAGACACCCGTTAATCAGAAAGCGATTTCGAAATTCTTTTGAAATATCGATGGAAATAGGAAAGAAAAATAATAAAATAAAATAATACCAATACCAAAAATATTCAAATACGAATCTTCAACATTTTTTAATTGTTACAACAGCCAAAATGTTTAAAAACAATAGAGAATGCTATAGTCGAGTTCCCCTACTATCAGATACCCGTTACTCAGCTAGTGGAAATTTCAACATTTTCTGGAACATCGGTAGAAATTGTGGACAAAAAATAATAAAATATAAAAATAATATAAAATATTCCAACAGTTTGGGCGTGACGGTTTTGCCATTTGTACAAAAACAGAGAACACAATAGTGCGTCGAAGGGTCTCGACTATCAGACACCCGTTAATCAGAAAGCGATTTCGAAATTCTTTTGAAATAAAATAAAATAATACCAATACGAATCTTCAACATTTTTTAATTGTTACAGCAGCCAAAATGTTTAAAAACAATAGAGAATGCTATAGTCGAGTTCCCCGACTATCAGATACCCGTTACTCGGCTAGTGGAAATTTCAACATCGGTAGAAATTGTGGACAAAAAATAATAAAATATAAAAATAATATAAATTATTCCAAAAGTTTGGGCGTGACAGTTTTGCCATTTGTACAAAAACAGAGAACACAATAGTGCGTCGAAGGGTCTCGACTATCAGACACTCGTTACTCAGAAAGCGATTTCGAAATACTTTTGAAATATCGATGGAAATAGGAAAGAAAAATAATAAAATAAAAGAATATCAACACATTTTTAAAAGCAGTGGGAATTTGTAAATATAAATGTAAATAGAAATTGGCGAGACAAATAATAAAATGAAAACAAAACAAAATACTTCTTAAAAGGGTTACAAACTGAGCTATACAACATGCAGGCTTAGACTCTACTTTCCAGATATTATAGTTTTGGAGATCACAGCGTTCGTTTCCGACCCTTTAAAAATATTTATAAAATACACTGCCAATTCGATCTTGAAATTTCCGTATATTTTTTAAAATTTTGTAATTTTCCTTGACCCCACTCTAACGCCCACAAGCCTTCCAAAACTGTCACGCCCACATTTTTAAAAAATGTTTCGATTCGATTTTTGTACCCATTTGCCAAAAAAAATATTAGCCACGTTCGCTCGCACTTTTGTTATATGTCGTGAATTTTAATTTTATATTTGTCTAGTCTATCGATATGCCAAAATTTTGAAATATCTTCCTAGCACTGCTGCTCAGCACCTGCTGAAGGCTATCTTATTTTCGAGGATATCGACCATTGCGTTTTCTAGTTTTAGATCGCGACTTACTAGATCTTCCCAGTATTTCAAGTTGGAACTTTTGAAGTTTATGGTATTGGTCGCAATGAATGCGCGGAGTTTTCTCGAAGAAGCAGACATCATATCCTTGGCGTATTCAATTGTAAGAACATCCTGGCACGTTTTAAATTCTACTTTTATCTTTTGGCTGTGCAAACCCACCCTCCAACACTACCAACGAAGACCAATTCCGATACTTGAGTTTACTTGTCTTTGCGTTGAGTTTGCCATTTCAATCTGTAGTTGTATCCCCGGCTTGCTAGGTATTTGCTTCGTAGTGTTTTTTGCAAAAGGATTCAAACGAGGGCCCCGGTCTTGCGTTCCGACATCCGGCTACAATTCCCGCCTTCACTACTTTCTTACTTTGAGTGCAGTGCCAAAGCGCAGCTCTTGCCTAACAAGCAAGCACATACACTCGTGGACCCGACAAATGGAAACGTAATATCTGATTTTCGTATTTCCGTAACTGTGGTTCCGCCTCAAACCAGCCGGAGTAAAACCAGTCACCGAGGCACCGCTGCCGTCGCCGACGCAATAGTTTTGTTGCTCTTGTGCGTTCTTTGCATCAAAAGGTTGCTCTGTGGGGCACAGTAACCCCAAACAAGCTACGCTCCTCCCACACCCAACATCCTCCTCATTCTCTTCACCCAATCTCCTTCCCTCTAGCAACGCACACAAAGGTCCTGCAGCACTTGCAAATAAAACAGCACACCGTACTCGAAGTGAAACGTAAACTTTGACAACCATACCGGAGCTGAGGACGAATGGGGTAGAAGCGGCGTACTGCTTACGCTATGTTTTTTCTATATTTCAAAACGAAAAGGATTTTATGTTTCTTTATGTGAGCGGTGGCAAAGGATTTTAACGTACGCCCCGCAGACCAGCTCGTAGACCATTCTTTACCACCTCCAGCTGGCTCCACATCCATAAAAGTTAAATAGACAGAAAATTGTACACATTTTTGTGAGCATGGATTTTTCAATTCGTTGCCTAGCATCATTGACTGAAAGCCTGAAAGGCAAATAGCGTGTGTTTTCCAGCCCGTGTGCAATGAAAGGCTGGGCTACTGGGCACGGAGACGTGTACTCCATCTCCACCGGGGAGCCAAAGGACGGGGTGTTCAGGGGTGGATGAATACGGATTTGGTGGAACTCCTTGTGGGAATATGAGGGAGGATAGGGTGTGCGTATAAAAAATAATAGCCGTTCTCTTATAATGCATTTATCTTGTAAACTTATTTTGTTTTATAACATTTTCGCGAGGAATTGGTTTTCTTTTCTGTGATCTTTTGCAATTATAAATGAAATAGATAGATAGAGCTATTAATTATTGTGACGTTATGGAGTATAATTTATTTTATTTATTAATTAATAAAAAGCAAGCGACTACGCTATATATGCGATTTCCTCCACTATAAGATTACACGACAGTTAAACAAGATAGAATGCTATAGTTGAGTTCCCCGACTATCAGATACCCGTTACTCATTTAGTGGAAGTGCAAACGAAAATTTTTCAAATTTTCTGGAATATCAGTAGAAATTGGGGAAAAAATAATAAAATGAAAAAACACTTAAACATTTTGTAAAAGTGTGGGAGAGTTTTGTGCGGTTTGTGGGCGTTAGAGTAAGCGTGGCTAAAAGTATTTTGGCAAATCTATAAAAATTTA